GAAACTTTGCTTAGTCTGAATCGATGTGAATGCACAAAGATAACACATGCATGCAACACACATGTGTTTAAGAGCACATGCATACATATACAGATATGGACACACGTTCATGAAGATATGCACACGTGTTTATACACAGAGCGTCATATAGACAAGTTCACACATGCATCCCTATTCCTACACACTTGTACATACTAACACATACACTCATGCACAAAATATACTTGCACACATATACACATGAAAGGGTGGCTGATAGAATCACCCAGTACCGTAGCACAGCCTGCCCAGCTCCCCAGGACCTTCCAGCTCAGACCCATAGTCAGAGCGCTGCACTCTGTGTGTCTCCCCATTGCAATCCTATTTTTACACAGATGTTTTGTTTTGTGTTTTGGGGAGAGCTCTGTGGCCTGACTGCAAACTCTGATCTCTTAAGATGCTCGTGTCTGTGTGGGCCGCTCACAAGACATGTCAATCCTCTTTGCGTTTCCAAGTTGCACATCTCCATACCTCCTCCCAAGAGAGTAGGAAGCTGGGTGCCCAGCCAAACGTGCCAATTCTGGACCCGCCCCGAACCCCAGCCTGATTGTCCTGATGTGATCGACCCATGCTGTCTCCAACCTCCTTAATCAGTGTGAAAACTCTCCTGGGTTCCTGTGTTTCGGATCTTGTGACCAGACTAACCTGGCCCGTGCAGGGGTTGGCGTGTCCGCATGGGGAAATGCACTAATATGGATGTTTCTCTTTGTGTGTGCACCCTGCAGTGTTGTTTACCAGGATGGATTTTATGGTGCAGACATTTATGTAAGTATTCATTAACGTGCATGCTGTCTTTGTTTCCGCCCAGAGTCATTCCTTTTACAAGTTTGCTGCAAAAACCTCCATGAGGTGTAGTCAGACCTCCTCCTCCAGGTCTGTAGGAACGAACCCAGAGCCCTGCCTCCCAGGCAGAAAGACTTCTGCTCCTGAGCTCATAAGAAGCATCCCTCGATGTTTGAGGGGAATTAACTCCTTCAACAGCTTCAGAATTGACACAGTCCCCCCCCCCCCAAAAGGTAGCGCTTTTCCCGGGCCCAATGGAAGACCCTATCCCCCAAGAAACTGTCTCCAGAGTTCTCAATATGGCCTGAGTGTTCTTGGTATAATATTTAGGAGAAGAGCTGTAGTTACCAGCTATAGAGGGTTTAACGGTATTTTCATGGCTACCATTCTTGATGCTTTCCTGATAAATATAATTAACTTATCACAACCGCCCTAGGAAGAGTCTCTCTGTCTCTGAACATGGATGAGTTTACCAAGAAACACCTAAATCTCCCAAGAAAATGTATGTAGACTTGAACATTAATTTCTTATTTTCTTCAACCATTTATTCTATTTCCCCAGAACATTTACCCAACTTTAATTTTTTGGTAATTGGTACCACTTTGTCAAACTTTTCCTCCTTGGAAAATATAGGGTGTTTCTCATTATGGGGGCCATAGTTTAACTCACCTACATTCACCTAGATGAATTGATTCTTCCACATGAGAATACAAACATCAATTTTAAGAAAATTGCTTGAAACAAACACAATTGAAAATAAGTGGGCAGTATTGAGGAGGGACTCTCAAAATCACATAATTTTTATTACTAATGGCCTCAAATAAGTCAGTGGAATCATATTTGTTGTTTTATAGGCTAGATAACAAAGAAAAATAAAACTATATTTCTGATCAAATTGATGCCATTTCCTAGAAAATGAGAGAGACACTGCTTATTTAATTTTATTCCTCTTGAATTTCAGATCACTACAGTTCTGAGACGTAGTGTTAATCTCCATCAACGATGGACTTAGTCAAGTTCTGTTATTCATTATATGTACCATCATCCATGGGTTTTATTTTCCTGTAATAAAATGAGTGGACTACATGCTTTTATGAACTCTGTTAACAGCCCGTTTTCATTTTTTGGTGTAACTTAAGCTGCTCCTTGTCACATCCTCCTTGGGTCCATGCCATTTTAGGTGGTGAGAGCGGCGGGGACCAAGCAGTGTGGAGTCAGCCTTACCCTCCTGTACCTTATGAATCCCAAGTCCCTGCCTCTAGTTGTCCACAGGGATCCCGATCATGCAGATGAAGGGACTGTCATTGGTATATCTGAGTTTAGGGCTTTATTACTATTATTATATGGTTTAACTTGGAGAACAGAAGGGTGTAGATGAGGGATGGAGAAATTTAAAAAATCAAATCCACTGGAAAGAAAGCTATTTTCATCAGCACCCATCCAAAGGTGGGCGGGGGGAGTATGTCCCTGAGCCTAGTGATAGGAATAAAGATCATAGTAATTCAGCCATCACTTATGGAGTGTCCACTTCCAAGTGCCTTGGTTTCTTCCCGAGGTGAAAATGCTACTTCACTGATTTATCAATTGGCACCCTGCCCTTTGTATATTTCAAACCCGTATCTTTTCCGTGCCTCACAGATTCTCATTTAGCAGGAAGTAGAAGCTGCCCGAAGGCAGGGACGGTGGTCATGCCACAGGAAGGACAAGCTAGGAGAGCAGGTCACCAGGAGTGTGCGTGGACTGGGGCATCAGGCTCGCTCAGAAGATCCACAGAGCCAGGCAGGTGGGAAACAGAGAAGGCACAGGTGAGGGCCAGGTGCCAGCCTACACCAGGGTACCAAGAGATTAAGAGATGCCATCAGACAGGAGCTAAGTAGAAATTAGGGGAAAGGAGAGGTGTCCACCCTCCCCAAGAGCTGAGCCCTCAGGAGAAGGCTGCCTCTGGTCACCATGGAGACACACATACCACATTGGCTTAAAAAGACAGGAATTTAAGTTTTTAACTATCATATCAAACTACAAGGTAACTACTACTGCTTAGTGTGCATTAAAAAGTGTGTCAAATTAAAGATACACTTAAAAAGCAGCAGGGACGAAACACACTTAAAGCCAGAGTTGAGGACTAAAGTATCCCAGACCCGTGGAACCTTCCACTGCACTCACAGGGAAGCTGTAGACCCCTCCAGGCCAGAGCCTAGCGGGGAGGTGGAAGAGAGGTATTGCCCGAGCTTCTCCAGGATCTATGCTGGTGTCCTCCGGCAAGAGGGCAAAGGACGCGGCTGTTGATCAAAGATATTGAAAATGCAAAGAGGGACCAGAGGAAGTGAAATTCTATGAGAGCTGTAAAAATTTTGACAAGTTATGGGTAGAAACTGGAGTAGGTCGGCGATGAGCCAGGCAGTAGGAGGGAGAGAGAGGAAGGTGCCCAAGGTCAATGTGAAAGGAGCCCCTTTAGCTAGGGGTGCCTGGGGTTCCTGAGTGCAGCCACTAGGGCATCCTGGAGGAGGTGTCTCAGTGACATCCAGACGCATGTTCACACCATTCCTGAATTCCATGATAACCAGTTTCTGGCGGACGCCGTGGCTGGACACACTGCCTTCTGTATTCATGTCACTCTGTCAACCACGTGTCTTAAGATAAAAAGGTGTCCTCATGCCACTGATATTTAAGTTCAGGAAAGAGAAGTGTCCCTGGCTTTGGGGACACTGGGAAGTGGGAATTCTCCCAAATACAAACTCGAGTCTTTGCTCTTGAGACCCCACTTTTAGTAAGAGCCAGCAGAGTGGGGCAGCATGAGGCTGCCTGCCCTCCGTCATTCCAGGGTCAATTCGCCAAGCGTCCTCTGTTCCAGAGACGAGGAGCTCAGCGGGGAAGCTGAATCCCTCCTCTCACACACCCAGGAAGACAGGGAGCACATCACCTCCATGTTTTTTTTTTTTTTTAGAAGAGGAAATATTTCTTTTTTCCCAGAAAAAAAAAAGATGAAATGATTTGTCTCATTATCTTTCCTGACCTGGAAGCGTGAAGCCACAATGATCTGGCTGCAGAGGCCACACTCAAGCACTGAACCGGCCAATTAAAGTTGTTGCAAATTTTGAAAAAACCTAAGAAAGGAAAGGAAGAGGGTGAGAAGTCAGAGAAGACCGACAGTATAGGAATGACAGGGCCCTGGAGCGCCGTGTCTTTATTTGAAACCTTCAGATATGCCGTGAGATCTGCCGAGGGTGGACACAAGAACTTTGACAGAGCTTCACAAGCTTAGATTTTAACTTAAATGGCAAGGTTAAATAAAACTGACTCAAAAGGAAAATCAGATTATGTGAGAAAAAAAATAGATACACACATACATTTATAGGCAGCTTCCTAAATCCCTAAAAATGCCCAAACTCTTGATATCTTCTCCTGGAACTAGAGAGTTTCTCTTGAAATTCAGTCCACATGCAGGAGAGATCACTCGTGAATAACTCACATCCCCAATGGTTTCCAGTCTGTAGAGGGTTCTACCGAGTCCTTGTCAGCATTAGATTTCAATGAAGTGATGTGTTAGGGACCTGTGTGTTAACAGTATCTCTTTTAAACATGCCCACCCATAGGTTTTTCCAGTCAAGTCTACTAAAAGTAGGTTTGGTAGCCTCAGTGTGACTCATGAATTTGTGAAATACAATTCCACTGTGTTATTAGTTGATATTATTAGCAAATAGAGCCACTGATGTAGTTGTGGCTGCTACTATATCATTGTCATAGCTGCCTACATAATTAGGCCTCCAAATTAAATTCCCAGGCAGGTAGACTGGAGAATTCCAGTCATGAGATAAAGAGACAAATTCCCTGTAGTTAGCTTGAAACATTGGATTGTGTTTTGCAAGTTGAAAAGCCATGAAATTATCGTTTTTTTTAACTTCTTTAAAAATAAACACAGGTTAGATCCCAACTACAAATAGTGTGCATGGATCGTGATCTCAGCCTTCTTTGGGAGTCTCCATAATAAAGACTTGCAGCTACAAGCTTTTGGCCAAGCCCGGTTCCCATTTTGATCTAGTGGGTCACTCCCCTGTCTCAGTGACCTCAGAAAAGCAAACTTGTAAATGAATTACTCTGGAATCTGTCTGACTTATGCATCTTCTTTTATTTATTTCATTTTTTTGCATTGAAAACATTACATTTCTGTTTCCTTATAGAGTAGTGTATCAAGAGCCTGTGTATGGCAATAAATTGCTGCAGGTATGAAATCCCACCTGGTGGAAAAACTCATCACTTTGTCGTGGGTTTGCTGTGAAATCCTTACTAACGAGACAGTTCTGGGGAGGGGGAAACATTTTCTAACATCGAAGGAGAAGCTCGCTGAATTTTCCAGTTTCAATATGAGCTCTAGGGTAGGGATGATCACCCCCTTGTCTTCTGATAGGTCCATAGTTACGCGGAGGCTGTTTCCATGACTGAAGTCAGACAGCCGCACCTGTGAGCCTTGCTGGATCACAAGCATACTAAATTGGAGGTCTAAACTCAGCTCTTAATTTCTTGGCCTTATCTGGACTCAATCAATATAAATTTAGCAAAGAACATAATTAGAGGGTGTCATTGAACCAATTGCCTGGGCCATTTTTTGGTAGGTTCTTGGAGTCCTTATATCCAACATGGGGTCCACAGAGCTAACATTTAATAACCCTCCTTGGTTTTGTTATAACTGGTCAGGAATTTATTTCACACTTGCTAGAACTCTCAAACCTTATTTCTCGCTGTGGAAGCAACCCCCAAATAAAAGCCCAAGTGACTGGATTTGTAGGAAGAAAAGAAAAAAAATCAACACATCTGTTGCTGGCTGAGTCTCCAGATTTGGTCTATCACTAACACTGAAACTGTCAAATAAAATGAAAGATGAATATCAAACTGAGAATGATTTGTGGGCGCTTTATCACATGAGTTTTCCTGTTACCTGCAATTCTCATTTTTATTCAGTATTAAGTCAACAAGCAAGGTACTGATTTTTTTTTTCAGTCATGAAAATTGATCCAATTTAAATTGTTAAAAAATTTTAAAACTCACAAATATGAAAAGGGATACTCGGACCTAGGGGAAGGCAAAGTAGTTAAGATACCTGAGATCAACTTTTAGGGTCACATTTCAAGAAAACTGTGTTTCTGTTGCCACACTTCACAAGTAGCTGAAGGTATAATAATGCAGATTAACTAAGGAGTCATGGTTGTATTTAAATGTCTCCTTTTCCAAATGTTCTTGCAAATGGTAGTACACTGAATAAAATTTGAGTTGTGTGTATACCAATACACCTGCTTTGCACAAAGTGAGTCCGAGCCCGTGGCTACACCTGGACAAGGAGCAAGCTTCTCTCTCTCTCTCAGGTTGGGCTCATTTCTGCTGTCTGGTGCCCTGGTGCTGAAGGGAAGCATGCACACGTGTGTGCACACACATACACACCCCACACATGACATAGCCCTACTCAGAAGCACGTCCCCTCCCTCCAGCACATGAACATTTACCTCCCTTTTGCTAAAAGTATAGTCTGAGGTGAAAAGTTTATTTTCTTTCACCAAGTTACCTTGAGTAGTTCATCAGTGTTCAGTATTGTTCTCCCAAGTTCCACAGGTAGAATACCTGCTTCACCTAGCGTAACCCAGCATTTCCACAACCTGTTTGGTCATGGAATCTTTTTTTTTTTTCTTGCCATCATTAACGTTCCCATGAGCACAATTTTGAAAATGCTTTCTCAGAGCATTTTCAGTGGGTGACTATGCCAAGGGGCCTCCAGGATTCCCTAACAGAGGAAACAGCTCAGTCTAGGAGAGCAGGTTTCTTTGGATGCCTGTCTTTGGTAGTGGTGTCCATTTAAATTTATTTTGATATCAAGACCTATTTACAGTTTGCTGCCAAAGTGGAAAATGAGCGTGTTTATGAGTGGGATGTGTAGAGCTGTGTTGTATTTATCATTCCCTTTTCCTTTGGTTTGGCGGCAGGAAAAAAAAATCTATTTGACTTGATTTTTGTCATGAGGTCTGGGAGGACCAGGCTCAACATGAACAGGGTCTGGTGACCTCCCAAGAGCAGAGATACCTCCTTTCTGAGACATAAAGCCACGCAACAGCTGCAACTCTGCCCGGAAAGCTGCAAAATAGAAAGCAATAAAGTTGATCCAAGTCACCTGTTAGAAAGGCAAATTAAAGCAACGTGTACTTTTGGATCATTTTATAGTGTGTGCACACATACACAGAGTTAATGCACAATTGCACTCTTTCCCTCGTATGGATTTCATGCAAAAGAAAAATAGCGAGGAAGACAAGGTAACAGAAGGATGGTGGTATCAAGCCACTTAATCCTCTTTCACCCCAATTACTGCAGGTTCCAGGGGCCACTTAGACTTGGGCTGTCCAGCACTGTGGCCACCTCCTGCAATTGGCTATTCACATTTGAACTCACATTAACTAAAATTGAGCAAATTAAATATTCAGTTAGTCGCCCTACCCACAATCCAAGTGTCCAGTAGACACTAAACACTGTTGACTAGAAAGCACAGATCTAGGGCAATTCTGTCATTACCATGTGGTCTGCTGGACAGGGATGAGACCGCTGATCAAGGTCAAAGTCTTCTCACCTGCTCTGAAGACAGCAGCACATGAGGATGCCGAATTTTGAATCAGGAATGCTTGTGAACAAATTCCAGGATCTCGTATAGAAACACACACTTATTTCCTCTAAATGGCCAAGACACATGCAGATGTACACAGTAGAGAGCATTCCCAAATCCTCAGGGATGAGCACATTTTTTTTTGCAGGGTTCCTGTTTTACACACCTGCAAGTTGTGTTCCTATGATAGATATCAACCCAGTGAGGTTCTTTTTACTTTCTGCTTGCACTATAACAGTTAATTTAGCAAAATATTTAGCAAACTTGCTACCTGCTGCAGACATTGGGGAGATAAGTGAAGTTCAAACAAGAGCATTTGCAAATGCTAGCAATCTTTGCTGGGACCAAATGCATAGTCACACAGTCACAATTTACATGGCACCTGGTACAAATACCTATGCTAATTTTTTGTTGTTGTTCTGGGGAAGAGAATCCTCCCCCACCCACACACACACACACAAACACACACACACACACTTTTTCTCCACTCAGTTTTCAGCCAGTTGCAGCTAATGCCTCCTAACAATGGGCTGCCCAACTCTAGACCCTTCCTACCTCATTAAGTTTAATATGCATACTCCTACACCTGTGTCTTTGTGTATGCATCATGAAACCCGAGAAGACGGGCAAGCAGATTAAAAGAAAGGCTCCAGAAATCCGGTGACCTCATTTCTGCTCAGCCCGTCATTCCACATCTAGGGCTCAGCACTAGTATGACAATGGCTTTGGTGTTATGACTGCCCCCCACATTTAATGATTGCCCCCATTCCTAATTAGAGAAGATGGTGTTTGGAACACCAGGTGGTGTATAGCTAAGACCTTTTTTTAAAAAAAATAAACTGACACTTTGTTTTTATAAGGGAGGCTATTTTAAAAATACTGGCTCCAAATTACTGTTGATTATTTGTCAGGATGTCTCAGATGTGTCTTCTCCAGGCTGAGCCAAAGCATGAACTTTTTAAGGATAAACTAGCTGTTTAGAGTTGTTTTGCAAGCAACTGCAGATCCATTCTGAAAGTCAACTGTGGCTAGAAAGAGATAGAAAGAGATAGACCAGCCTGCCTGGAGTTTGAAAGATGCTTTTCACGGCTTCCCTGGCTTCATCTACCTTTTCTCCTCCTGCTTAACTTCCCCCAGAAATAGGATCAATGTCAAGACAAGTTAGTGCTCTTGGGACTTGGCTGTTAGATGACCTCTGACACACAATTCTATCCTGAGTTGCCCTTTTATGGCGAGGGTGAGAACACTTCCCTCAGGATTATGGGACCCTGTGTTTTCAGGGAAACTGGATCCTGTTTGTTAATTGTGCAGAGATGGTTCCACAGTGGTTGACATATCGCTGTGGTCCGTTGAGCAAGAAGCTGTGTTCCTTTCACAGTTTGATAATCAAAGCTCCACTGAACACAATTCCTTTTGAATATGCCCATTTGCTAGTCCTCTTTGCTTAATTGAACAATTGCAATTACTGGTACATACAACTAAATGTTAATTATTTCTTCTTTTCAGATTTTTTTCTCTCTTAATGATTTTATTTACAAATTAGAGGACTTTATCGTGATTTCCACACTACATTCCCCATCTGAACCTGAGAGACACATAACAGTTTGATAATTTTAGACCAAAACAGAGTCTTTAAAAGGATGCTCACAATTCATTTTTATGTTACTTCTGTAACATCTAGACATCCAATGACAGTCCTCTTCAATAGACTTAGTGGTTACATGACCACATATGCAAGGAGTTACTAGTGAACTTTCACCTGAAGTGTTATCTGATTTTTAACAATAAGTGTGAAAATAAGACATGGGAGGGTTTACTTGATTTTTTTTTAAAAGGAAATAATAAAGGATGGAAAAAATAAAATTTAATATCTAACAAATACAGGTAAAGCATGATCAAGTTTAAAAATCTGGAAAGTTCAGCCCCATGTGTAGAGTATTTAAATAACCCCCATCACCCTCCTGCCCGGGACAATGGCCATTAACACGCAGGTGTCGCCTTCTGAGGGGACCTGGGTTCTTCTGTGGGCACACGCTAACCTTTAACACGCAGCAGGGCTGGTGTCAACCCCTTCTTTCTCCGGTGTGTTTTGTACCTTCTGCTTTGATACTAAGCTCTCATTAACCTCGACTTTAGATTGGTAGATTTGGGTACAGCTCTTCTGGTGTGGTCTCACTGCTGGGCGTCCCCAAGTTGGGCTCCTCCGCATCCCTAAGTCACCTTCTCCTTGTGTTCTAGGGTGGTTACGCTGCATACCGCTACGCCCAGCCCACTCCTGCCACTGCTGCTGCCTACAGTGACAGGTAAGGGTCCTTCCTTCTTGTGCTTGACAACTACTGGCAATTAAACTTAGTTGGTGGGACAGAAGACCCTCCTCCAGTCTTCTGACAATGCATGGCTGGGGAAAAAGCACCCAGAGTGAGACCCTGTGCTGAAGGTACACAGGCCACAAAGAGGGTGAACAGTCGCCAGGAATTGATTCTGCACCCCCACCCTCTCTGCTAAGACACAGAGACAAGGAGCCTCTGCCCCAGAATACCCCTTTTTCAGATCTCTTTATTCCCACGACCATATCCCTTGCACAAGCACACACACGTATAAACACACACACACACACACACACACACACGGACACTCCCTCACCGCCTTCCCGTGGTCTGGTCTTCTATGAAACCCCATGGTGTCAGCTAGCAGGAAGGATCCCGCAGGTCTGCCTCCCTCCCAAGCACCTTCTTTCCCTTCTTCCACGCAGGGAAGCATCCCCTCCCTGCATTTTTTAATTCAGAATAAAAAGAATGGGAAGTGCCTCTGGCTTTTCATAAGGAGGCTCATTCTTTTTGACAATGCCCAGGGTCCAATCCTACAGACACAAGTCAACTTCAGTTTGCAATGCACACCACACGTGAAGACTGGCATGGGAAGGGACCCAAGAGTGTCTGAGAAATGCAGAAGTCAGATCGGGTGTGTGGGGGTGGCTTGATTCCCCAGCACTTACAGATGACTTGGTTCCTGGAACAGCAAGCTGTAGCTATTTTTGTAGAGGTGCCTTAAGAAAACAAAGTGTGCGTTTCCATATTGAATGCAACTCCCTGGCTCTGTTTTCTGAGGACATAAATGTGAATGTTCGGATGCACTGCATGCACAAAGGTCGTAGAGGGTGCTTACTTTTGGTAATGACTCCTTTAATTTAAAAATCTGTTTCATGAGTAAAACAATAATGATAACAATTTGCATGTGTGGCTGAGGCATGCTGGGTCAGACAGGTAAGCGGGCAGTGCATTAGACTCCTCAGTGAGAAGCGGCCGCAGCCACTCTGTCCTCCCACCTGGCCTGTGGCAATTGAGTTCCTCTCTGGTTTGCTGTGGTGTGCTTTCTCGGCAGTACCATTCCATTTCGCACAAGATGGGTGGTTAGCTCACTGTAGCTAAAGAATTCCTCTGCAACCTAGTGGGGCAAAATGCTTCCCTGAATTTCAAAAGCTGCACTTGGAAAACCTCATGCATAAGCTCATAACAAATGGCTCTTTGGAGAGAGAGAGAGAGAGAGAGAGAGAGAGAGAGAGAGAGAGAATGTTTTGATCTGCTGTCTGGTTGTACACAGGTATTATTTTCTTATAAACAGCCATAACAAGTTCTCAAGGCTTAGGGAGCTTCAAAGAAATCCAAACCATTGTCAAGACACAGTTGTAAATACATAAATTATCCACTTACCCAATAATCAGTTGCCAAGATGCAAAATGTTTTATATAAATTGTTATGTTCAACACACTCTGACACTGGATTAGGGAAACAGGGTCGATAAGGCTAATAAAAATGATGACAATCTCAAAATACTCAAGATCATTCTACAAATGAAAAGACTTAATGCTATTAAATTACGAACACTGAAAATTTGCACAGTATCAAATGGAAAGTGGTTCAGCTACAACCCTTAATTATTTTTATGAAAATATCTCTAGATGCTAAATTCTCAAACACCCACTTTGTGTGTAATTATAATCACAGTAACTTTAGCCTGCCTTATAATTATAAGAATCTTAAACGGATTTATTTCTTTGAATGTTTATCTTGCTTCTCAGTATAAGTGCATCCATCCCCAAGTTGAAAAAAGGTTAATTACAAAATTGCAAAATCGCCTTCTTCAATGAGACCAATCTAGACATTTGAACAAAATAAACAGTGTTTAATTCTATTCTTCGATAGATCTACTTGAGAAGCTAGCTATTTCCACTCGCATTCATCTAAAATTCAGTTATAATTTTCTGCATTTTAGAATACCATGTATGCAAATATATGTATAAAATTTGTCATTTTAATATTATTAAGATTTCTCATTGGCAGCATATACTACAGAAAAAAAAATGCCCTCATTCTTGGATGGGTAAATCTTTAATAACTCTACAATTCCCAGTGCAGTAGGACCGTTTCAGCTGAAGAAACCAACTAACTCTGTTCTCCCCCACGTAATTGGCCTCTTGTTGTTCATTAGAGACATTTGCACGTTAGGTCTTCTTGGTTGCTGTGGAAATTGATCACCAGCCCTCCCTAATCTATCGTGAGTGAGATCCTTGTCACCCATGGAATTATTCATCGAGGTAAACTCCAGTAATAGATGAATTACCAGAAAACAATCCCTAAAATTACATTTCTGGTTTGATTTATGAAGTGTCTCTGTTAAATGGTGGGGCTTCCTCTCATTTTTAGAAAGCAGACATGAAGAAAGAAGGTCCTTCTAGAAAGACTCACATTTTGGGGGTGGGAAATTTGAAATTATCAGAAGAGCTTTTGAATCTCTATTAAAGATGCCAGGGCAACGGGATGATAAATTATTTTTACACTCTCACAGAATAAGATCAGTAGTCATCGGCTCTGAGCTCCTCTTCTCTGGAAGATAGACAGGAAGACAAAGAGATAACCTTCTTAATGAAAAGAAACGCCTTCAACATAGGAAAGGGAATCAGCAGGCATTGAGAGTGTTTTGGAAATGCTCACTGGTTGTCAGTTTGATCAAAAGAAAAATGGCAACAAACTTTCCCTGTAATCATGAGATTCACTCATCAGACATCTTGAAAGGGAAAGAAGTTTGATGTCCCCTGTTGGTAGAATTTTACCTTTTATCAGCACAAATTAAGCCCTCGTCCAATTAAAGATTCAGGAACCTTTGAAAAACATTGAACTCCAATAACCTCAGGACTGCCCAGAGGTCTTCTCTGGGCACCTGGAAACTCTCTGCCCATCATCTTCCTGGTAAATGATCACATGCTGAATATCTCGGAGCACCCCGAGAGTCTCTGGGTGTTGGCCTCCAGAATGAAGACCATCTGGTGTGGGCAGAGATTTTTCCCAAATGAAAAAGACCGAGCTGAACTAGGTAATTTTATAGTCTCGTTGACAAATTTAACGGGGATAGGCGAACATCTTTTTCTTGGCGTGGAGGAAACATTTGGCAAGCGCTTGACCTCACCCAACCTTTCAATCTCACTTGGATTTACGGGAAGGTATCCATTCAAAGTCTGGAGGAGGTTGTTTTCTGAGCTTGAACCAATCAAAGCATGGCGGTGGTGCCTATGGTCATCTGGTCATTGCATGCCCCCTTGGTGTTGCTGATGTGTCCGTGTTCTGTTCTGGATTCGGCAGGGTCATCACATGAGCTCCATGAATGGCTTGCTTGAATTGTGCCTGGGGCAGGCTTCTCCTTCTTGATTGGCTCTTGGTTTCTGTGTGTAAGATGACTTGGCCCCTGTTGCATCTTTCCGCAGTCAAATTCGGGGTGAGGGGTGGGGAAGGTTCCCTGTCCTGTGAATGGTGCCACAAATGTCTAGGAAAATATGTATGACGTGCACATAGCTTGGAGAGAAAAGAGTCACTAGAAAGACAGACATTGGTCATCTCGTCCTGCTTGCTAACACTCTAACATTTCCTAATGGTTGGTGCATGAATAGGTCCCTCGTGCTCAGGCAGAAAGTAACCACAGACCAGCTAGAGAAGAAAGCAATACTGTGTTCCAGCATCTCACTCTAAAAATTTCATAGCAACATGCTTGCACTCAGAGTTACCAGGAGCCATTTTCTTCCTTCACTTAAAACATGCATTTCCTTTGAAGAGTCCCGAATGCCAGGAAGCCTTTGGCCTCCTGTCAGAGCACCAGGCCACATGGTGTCCCTAGGCTGAGTGAAGGAGATTGCCAATCACAGGATTGGAGTTGTTTTATTTTATCCCTTTTTTTTTTTTTGGTTATTTGTTTTTCAAGACCTGAAAGTCTCATTGTCGAGACAGCATTAGAAGATACCCTGGGAACTAGCTCTGAGCAATTGTGTATAGCTCACCCTAAGAGGAACCCAAGGAAATACCCCGGTATCAAGGACCTCACTCCCTGTACCCAAACCTATACTGGGGGGCCTCACAGGGACTTGCGAGTGCATCTAGGTAAATCTTAATGCAAGAAAGGGAGGGCCTTTCAAGTTCAGGCAGACATGAAAGGCACACGCTAGAACATCATTTAAATCTGATGCTCATAACCCATGAATAAAACATTCCATAAAGCCTTCTATTTCAGAGTGAAATAGATTAGTATTTCTTTCTTGAACTCAATAGATATAAGTAGGCATATCTTTGGGGTCAGGGAGGATCTGGGCTACTCATATTTAAAATTATTCCAATGACATAGATAGACGCCTTATGTAAACAGATGGTTAGATGCGGGGAGGTACCTAGAAAGAGAAAGATCAGAGCACAGGTGGTGGGTGGCTGAGCAGAAGGAGGGGAAGAAGGAAGGAGACAGAGGAAAAATGAGAAAGAAAAACACTGTCTTCTCATAGCACTTCATCATAAGCTAAATTACAGTAAATAGAACCAACTTGACCTTTATGTAGAACCTCAGTCCACACTGAACCGAAGGAGTAAAGGGCTTTGAACTGATTTCCATCCACGCAGTCTACTTCCTCTCTATTTTAGGAGTGTTACTGTTGTTTGTTTGTTTGTTTTTTTTTTTTCTGGACTTAGATTAAGTAATAGAGAAATGCCGTTGTTAAAACAGACAGGCAAATAACTGCATTGAAAATGATACGCCACTCTCTGTGGAGTCCTTATCCAATGACTTATAATAAACCGTAGGCAGTCATCAGCATATAAAGCATATGAGCATCCCCAGTGGGATTTTAATTTATCCACGAAGGGCCTTTTTCTTTATAGAAAGATTACTTTAAAAAACTTTTTGTTGCACTTTCCGGATTTGATGATTTTACCTTTTTTTTGCCATAAGGTAGAACCCAGAAAGTTTGATATGTGGAAGCTTTGGTAAGGGT